TCATGAATTATATATCCTATTTTAACTATCTTTATCTTTATCTATTTATACGAACTATTAAATGATTCTGTGTTAAATAATCCTATATTATTCTGTTAGTTATTTTTATAAAGTTGTACATACACAATATTTATAACCAATACATTGATGAAAATAGTTACGTGCATCATAGCTATCATATGCAAGGTGCTGTGATAAAACGTATTCACATTTTCCTCAGTATCTCAGTATTTCAGTAATGATTGACTCGATTAAATTCAAAATTTATCGCTACAAATATTTAAGAAAAAATCCATTATCTTATTGTGAAATTTCCAATTTTGCCTGTAAAGGAGATAATAAATTAATTGAATCTTAATTAATTTAATGAATCTTAATTTTACACGTGTATACTTTGCAGCTCGGAGACCTGTCCGCAATGTCATAGTGTAACGACAAGTGATAAAATTCACAAAGCTCATTTCTCATGGACTGATGACTTGACTGTGGATAATTCAGAGAATATATCCTTGCAAGAGAGAATTGATGACTTGAAATTTCAAGTTTTAGAGAAAGAAAGGGATGTCCAGCATTACATCGCCAAAAATAAATCTCTTGAGATACAGAATGCTGGTCTTAGACAGAAAGTACGAGAAGTAGAAAGTGAGATCAGTCTTAAAAATTCGACCATCTGTGACTTAAAGAATAAAGATATAATAAAGATTAAGTCACAACGTAACCTATCACGTGATAGGTTAAAAAAAATGACTATAACAAACGTACGGAGAGCACTTCATAGGTACGTTATTATTTATATATTATTTATCTCATATAATTTAATCTAGTATTAGCAGCTTATTGCTTAAACTGATTTTTGTTATACCTTTTTCTCAGTCTGCTGACAAGCTGTCAGCAGATATACATGTAGATGTATAAGAAATGATTAAATTAATAATTCTGTAATAATGCACTAGTAATACTAATAACTGTACCTTCAATTTGACAAGGTTTATTGATATTTTGATTTTAACACATCTTCTATCTTTCATTCTTTTGTTTTTTTAAGAAAAAATTGTGGCAAGAGAATCAAATTAAGCAGCTTGAACAAATGCTTGCAACGCATCGTAACTATTTATTGCAAAAAAAAATCTAGGACCTTGTATGTATTTTTAATACTAAAGAAATTGTATCGTATTATTTTTAATG